AATTTTTTTATATTATTCGGTATAAAGTTATCATCAAGATCAGTTAATGTTGTTATGTATGTATCTATAAGTGTTTTTTGTATCTCATTATTCACTTCGTGTTTTATAATAAATTGTTCTAGGAAATTACTGTTACAATATTCCTTTTTAAAATCCTGTATTTGTTTGTTAACAGCGTTGTATTTGTATTTGTTTTTTTTTAAATCTTTAATATTTTTGTTATTAAGAGCTTTGTAAAACTCTTTTAATTGGCAGAGATGACTTTTCACTGTATTTTTCATTTGAAAGAATTTAAGGGCATTCAGCATACAAGAAAATAAAGGCTCAAACATACTTATGCTATTTCTGACTTTTGGCATTTGAGTCATCTTTTCATCGTAGTTAATTGATTCATTATAATCATCTATCATTGCTCCGAGTAAAAAATTAATGTTTTTGATTAGATATGCATATATTAAACTTAAAACTGTGAATCCATTTTTCAATTTAACATTAAAATTATTATTATCAACTATAATACTTGTATCATACATACGATTATTGGCCTTGTTTAGTAAATCACTTTTAATAGATATTATATTTTTACCATCATTGAATTGATTTTTTCCAATTAATGCCCATCCTTTGTTATTTAGAACATTGTTGTAAAATATTACCATGTTTTCGTCAAAAACCGTTGGTGTCCGCGTTTTACATCCAAAACAATCAACATCACAATACATATGCATAAAAACATATATTAAAAAAATCAAGTTTATCATGGTTGGTAGTGTAATAATACTCAGTAATAAGTAAAAAAATTGTAAGTACAAGAAAATCTAAATAATGTTCAATATATTTATTCGATTATAATCTTAATATATTTATAACTATTTTTTTTTTTACATCTTATTTTGATTATTTACTCAAATGTAAAACTGAAGAATTTTATGATGCTTATATATTATTTAAAAACAAAAATATTCATCTAAGAAATATTTAACTCAAAAAGCCACAAAAAATTACTAAAAAAATCGCGGATACGTATTTAGGAAACAATGTGACCATTATTAACGCTAAACACATATTATGCATTATTATACAATATTCCACGATTTTTTAGTAATTTTTTTGAGTTTAATATTTTTAATATAGTTTTAATTTTAAATAATATTAGTTACAGGTGATTAATTTTTATAAAAAATAAATATTATGCATATTTTATAATTTTATCGTTTCCCGAAGTCTTCCACTCCAAGACTACTTTGTTTATATCGTCCTCATTACGTCGTCACATGTCGTCTAGCTATTGGATCCTTTGTCCCCTGATGAAATTTACTACCTATGCCATTTCCATTTATTCCTGTAGCTCTTTGTTATACTTTCTCCTCTATGTTCCTTTTTCATTATCATATACTGGTCCACATATTATCTTCCATATTTTGTTCTCAAAAGTTCTCAGTTTTCTCTCCGTATTGCTTGTAGTAGTCTATGCCTTGCACCCATGGTGAGTGTGGGTCTTATTATTGCTGTGTACAGCCTTGCTTTAGTTTTTTTGGAAAATACTTTAAGAACTTATTTAGAGCGAAAGCTGCTCTTTCTACTTTTATTATCCTTACACCTATTTTCCTAGCCTAGTCATTGTTTTTACTCAGTTTGTGCACCTAGGTACCGAAATTCATTAATCTTTTCGAAAGCTAGGGATCCCGTATCAGTGTTGTCTTCCTCGCCTAGCAGTTTCATTATTTTTGTTTTATCCACATTAATTTTTATACCTATTTTACTGGTTGCTCGTTCGAGCACTTGAGCTGCCCTTTCCGTATCTTTCTATGAAGTTTTCTAAAATATTTAAATCGTCTGCAAAACCAAGTACTTGTATAAACTGTTGGCATATTGCTATCCCCGTAGTTTCCATTTGCAACTCCCTTATGGCTTTCTTCAAGGCTAAAATGAATAAGGTGAATAAGGAGATCAAATCTCCTTATTTTAATCCTGTACTAAATTCGAAAGCTTCAGACATTGTTTGTTCAATTATTATTCTGTACAGTGTTTTTCATGCACATTTTCGTCAAAGCTACAAGTTTATTTAGGATTCCGAAATCCTCCATTATATTATAAAGACTTTTGTTATGTACACTGACATGGCTTTTTTAAAATCAATAAATAGTTGCCAGATATTTTGGCGATACTCGTATTTTTTTTCTATTAGCTGGCCTATAACTGACAGCTGTTCGATCAGTTACTCTTGGATAGTAGAATATAATATGTCATGTTACAATGAACGCAATAAGTATAATGTTATTGTTTTAATTATATTTTGAGTAATTAATTACTTGCAATATTTGGAAAAGTAAAAAATAATAATAATAAAAGAATATTTAATCCTTACGAAGATTGTACTTTTTAATTTAATTTGTAACTCACATGTATCAATGAAGTATCTTCAAAGTTAATAAAACTAAATTACTTTTGTTATGTAATTTACAGACAAAGGTAATAATATGCAATTATCTCACTGTGAGTATCAACATTTAATGATGAATAATATAATAATTATTATTTTCTTAAAATTAAAGTGTAAAAACGAAATTAATGTAAAAAATAAAAAAATAAATCAATGAACAAGATCATAGTTAACACAAAGTATAATATGATTCCAATAAATATAATAATATAATTACAAATTTAATGTTATACCAAGTTATTTATAATTTATGAATATTTTTTTTTCTGTAATTTTACTTATATGATTTAAAACATTTATCTAATTTATTGTCGAAATTAAAAATGTTATACCCGTTTTAGCAACATCTGCTAAATTTTTTACAAACACATGTTGGTTACCAACTGTGATAAATATATTTTTAATTAATTAGCCAAGAGTAATTTATATATTTTAGCTTCGATGCAAAGCTGAGAAGGTATTGGTTTTACTAAGATGAGATTTTTTTTTGTGCCTGTTACCACTTTTTCTCAGCTCTTACCGAACGGATTTCTTTCAACAATACGTCAAAAGATCACAAATCGTATAAATTTTTTTTCTTAAAACTGCAATAACTTATTCAAAAATTAACAAATAATTATAATTTTTTTTTTATAGATGCTTGATATCTTTATCTATCATTTGATATATTTTTTTTACCTTTATCTGCCCACAGGAAGGATTTAAAATGACAACTTTTTCAACTTAACTTTTGAAAGTGTTCCGGAAAGTCTGACATTTCTATATATATTAAATTTAATTTAATGTAATGTACTTTATTATGGAAAAAAAAATTTGACCTCTGGACTTGTCTTCGTGGTGAAAATGGCTACCAAATGGTACTTTTGTGTGAAAATTCTCGATTTTATTTTTTACATTTTTAACTTTATAATGTTAAAACTTATTGAAAAGTGTATGTATCAACACAATTTTTTATGAGAAATAATATTTATATCCCTCTTTCATTTGACAAACTTTATCTTAATCAAGATATTAAAAAGGAAATAGCAGATCATATAGCTTTTGGAATAATCCACCAATTTTTTAAAATTAAACTCTGTCTAAAGATTTGCATCGAAGCGTTTTTTTTTATAGTGATTTTAATCACTGTCAGATATCATTATACTTGATCCAACTATACCACGTCACCACTGTGCTGCAACTCCCATTTGCTGGGTTTTTTGAGTTAATCTTAATTAATAATTTTTTAATGTATTTTCTGTTGAAATCCATTCTTCTTTACTTTATTAAGCGGTCATAAATCTTAACAACAATAACGGCACACATTGAATAATGAAATAGCAATGAAAAACAATTTAATAAGTCAGAATCTGTGTAGTGGTGTAGAGGCTATTTTTAGATTAGTATTGATTGATATCTGATAGTGACTAAAATCACTATCATAAAACACTTTAATGTGTATTTGTTTTAAATATAAAAAAAATGATCTAAACATGATTTTTGACTTAAGAGGTCGATTACTCATATAAAAAATATATTAACAAAATTATTTGAAAAATTTTATTTAGTTTAATAGAAATTTAATATGCAAATTTAATTTTTAATTAAATTTGTATGAATTTTTTTTTTACATACTATTCACAAACTACATTGATTAATTAATAAAATCATACAGGTTTTTAACATGTTTATAACTTTTCTAACCATAAAATTTGTATTTTTACTGACTTATTAAAAAGTTGTCAAATAGATAACATTGGTTTTTTTTATCGATTTAATTACAATATAAAAGTTTATAATAAAAAAATTGTATTATAAACTTTCTATAGTTTTGTTATCTGGAATTGAATATTTAAGTCATAAGTAAATCAGCTTTCGTTTGTTGTTTATGTATTTTATGTTGATGTATTTTTTTATATTTACAACTATATACTTCTAATAAAGTCTCTATTTATATTTAATAATTGTGATTTTAATAATAATTAAATAAATAATAAAGCCATTTTATAAAACAATTATTGTTTTATAAAATGGCTTCTACATCAAAACTTTATTATCGGAATACTACGATTAATTAAATTTATTTAACAAGGTGTATGTCAAATAGTTAGTAGTAAGTTACCATCAATTAATAAGTATTGTGTATTTTTTTATATAACATGTATATGATTAATTTAATAGAACACAAATAATTCATAAGTTTACAATGAAATTGAAGTATTTTGGTAAAAAAACAGAATACTTACTAAAAGCTTTGAGTTAAAAACAATATTTTAACTAACAAAATAGCCACTACATTATATGAAAAATAACAACAGAAACATTTTTTATATATTAATGACAACCGCGGAATATTCATTGAAAACAGAATAAAAAAATATGCACTACTTTATTTTCATTGGAATCCATTGCTTAATTACGACGAACATTTTTTTTATTATTAATTATAATAAGCATTTAACAAAATATAATCTACTTTTTTACACAAAAAATTAAGTACGATTTTTCTAAATGAGCAAACAGTTAATTACACATACATTTACTTACAATTATTTAAAAAATTGTAATGTAATTGTGGTATTTTATTTTTATCAAACATTTATTAGGCGTACAATAAATTGCATTATTTTTACGACAATTAAAACATCGAAAACATATTAACAATAATAAATTTTTTAATAAATAACGAAATCTCCCTGTCCATGTTACTGTATTTTATACTTATTTAATTATTTACTAATTAACTTAATTATTTTTACATTTCAAATGAATGAACACTATTTAAGATTAAATTTCATACAAGCTAATTTAAATAATCTAAATTATAAAATATTAATATTAATACAGTCAATATAGGCTTAACACATATAATTACAATATGTTTCATGTATAAAAAAAACTATTTAAGTATAAGTAAGATAAACGTTATATTTTACAAAAATCATAAAATAAAATACATTCCAAATTTCAAAACTCGGACGGAGGAAGGAAAGTTTATTTTTTTAGTGAACAGGTCAATTTTTAAATGGCACATACAAGGTCGTTACGGTTTGAATATTCCCGCAGCTATTTTTTTTAAGGATTATGTAAAAAGAAAAGTAGCTTTCAAAAGAGGTTGTTAGACTTAATAACAAAACAAAATGTAACAATTATTTCGAATTATCCATCGATTTTGTTTTACTGATTCCTCTTTTAAATAGATCGATTAGTATTGTACCAAGACATTTAATCATATAGATATAGACAAAACTAAACAGTTCCAAAATTATTAAATATAATTATATATATTATAATGTATGTACAAAAGTTAACTGTAATTATAATTACAGTTGATATTATAATTACATATAATATCAACAATATTATTTGTATTACGTACATTAAATAAAATTGTCATTTTATTTTTAATTATCTATAATAGTAGTATTGACATTACTATTTTCTAGGGTTAGTGTTATAGTCCACGTATACCCTAACCACCTCCCCAGAGTATTTTCTCTGAGAAGGCATAAAGTAGAAGTCAGGTTGTAGATCAGAATGGCCACCTCCAGGCGTTCTATTAGGTGGCCTGTGCGTGTAATAGCCGTTGTGCTGGGGAGGCTGTTGTACCGGCCTGGGCAGTGAATACGTACCGGCCGCTCGATCGTTGTGTGTGTTAGGAGGCGGAGGTGGGCGACTGTTCATATGTCGGCCGTTGGTCTGTGATGATCTGTGCAGTGACTTGGACTCGGCGTAATGATTGCCACCATTTCCATTGTGAGACACCAATTTAGTGGTAAGCGGTATGGTGGAAGTGTGACTCAATGAACTGGGCGATATTTTTTCGTCGCCATCATATTGGTCGAAAGCATAGTTTGTATTAGCACCGCCGCCACCGCCAGCCGAATAGTCTTTCCAGGCAGAATTTACACCGTTGTGATCCTATATGATAAAAATAAAAAATATAGATTATGTGATATAGCTTACAATTAAATACAGTTAAAACGAATTGCACTGTTCACTCATTTAAAAAGAGAAATAAATAATTATAAAGGAGGCAACAGTTATAATGTCCAGACTAATCGATTTCTTGAATTATTTGGTATACCTAAATTTATTTATACATATTTTTTCTTTAACTTCTAAAAAAACAAGTATTTAACTCAAAAAAGAACCAGATTAACTATAAAATATTGGTCTGGATGCCATTGTCAAATAAGGTCAAACTTTCAACAAATCTAAATTAGAATATTTAGCCAACAATTTTACATTGGCTTAAGTTTTTACTAAAAATAATTTTTTAAATTTTTGTTGCAAAATAATGACAGCTCAATTCATCTCATAACAAGCTTAAATTATTGCTGAATTTCATGCAAAAATTAATATAAATAATTAATATAACTTCCTTAGTTTTAAAATAAAAAATTGGCAAAGAAAAATAAAGCAACAAAATAGATGTTTAAAGATATATATCGAAAAATAAATAAAAGAAGTAAACCACTAAGATAAAAATAAAATGTTGTTACTTAAAATATAGTTAATTATGATACTATGTAATGAATTAACAAAATTTCAATAATTAAACGCCCCTATTGATTTTAAAATATTGAGAATATTAAAATTTTAGTTTATATTATTGCTGCTGTTAGTATAAAATGTGATATTTATGAAATAATTTTAATGTTTAATATTTGCTATGAAATTTTAATGCATGGAAAGTATCTCTAAATTAAATGCTTATGATTATTTATTTTAAATCAGTACAAACTAATATTTGAATTATCTACTAAACTTAAGATAATAGATAATTTAAATAATCTACCTTGTTTACTCGAAATGCATATTTAAATAGTTTGAAGAAATAAAATATTTAAAGGTTGGTTTAAAGTTATTAATAATGTAAATATTTTTGAAATTTTATAGTTATTTACATAGTTAATTGTCGTATTTAAAATATTTAAGTTTCAGCAATTAATTTTATGGCGTTCAATAGTTGTTTATCCAAAGTGAAAGTTGTTAAGTGTTAAAAAGTTATTATGATCGATATATCACCACCAAAATAGAAAGATAGAAAGACAGAGACAGAGACAAAGAAGAAGTATTGTTCGAACTCACCAGGTAACTTATAATATGCATTATTTGTTTTTATCTGTGTTTTGAGATATTTTTATTTATTTATAATTTTTTTATTATTTTTTTGAATTTATTTTTTGATTTTGATTAGTAACGTTGTGAAGTGGTATTCTCTGCTCGAGTAGGTGCCCAATGGCCAGTGTTGTACAAGTAAGGGTCGACAGGTATCCGATACCCGGCCTGGACTCCCGTTGGAAACGAATAAACTAGCTACAATAGTTACACAATTACAAGCTAGCCAAAATAAAAAATACATATAGGCCTAATAATAATTTATCAAGCTATAAAGCTCTACGGAAGCTGTTAATTGAAGAATTATAAGACTTTTTTCAGTTTAAGTAAACATAAACTTAAGAAAAAAATATATAAAAATAATTCAGTAATTACCTTATGATTAGGTCTTGGCCTTCTAGCTGTCTTATAAATGGTACAGCCAGCTTGTACAATTGCAATAAAGACCAAAGCAGAAATACAACCAATGACAATCCATAGTTTAGTCGATGACAATAAAAGTCCTTCGTTAGCATTGTCCTCGCTTGAAATCGTATTAGAAACTGTAAAAACATTATTTTTATAATGTAATATTTTCGAATTAATGTATACAAAGAATATATAAAAATTTGTGTATAAAAAAAATTACTTACGTGGAGCTGCTTCAAATACAAAATATTTTGGATCTAAAGACAAAGCGCCAATCTTACCACTATTGACAGTATCTCTAAGAACACGTTCTAATTGTTCAGCGCCTTCTTCAGTGCTCAAAGCACGACCTCGGGAGCCACCACCACTTTCATCTAATTCAACGTTCATTTTTGCCACGACATTATCGTTTTCTCTGTACAATAAAAGAAAAGTAAATTTATTGACAATAATAATTAAATTCATTTGTATTTCAATGATAAAACATGTATATTTACTTACTGGGAAAATTCATTAACACTAATTTTATAAAATTCTGGTAATTTAGTTAACGATTTTTTGAATCCAGTAGTAACTGTATTTGCTAGTGCATCAAAATCAGGGCTACCTGCAGGTGGAACTACAAAATTCTCACCTAGTTTTACTAACTTTACAGCAACGTTGAAAGCAGCTTTTGGTGAAGTTGTTGTTGTAGCAGATTCCCAATCTTCTTCTATAAATATCAATCATCAAGAATTCAATTTTAAAAAGATCGTAAATTTAATATAAATTCCAAATGAATTGCACAAACCAGCTCCACATGATTTCATACAAATTCTCTCGTTGGAAAACGCAGGTACCATTTCGTGCTTCTTGATTTTCTTGTTTACTGGATTGTAACCGCCTCCTTTCACGATAAACGTTAGGTAGAGGCATCGTTCGTCCGAGAACATCATGTCCTTTTAACACATAAGATTACGTTAATTTTTGTTCTACTTTAATGTTTTATCTATTTAGTACTCACTTTAGTATCTCCAGTTGACCTTTTTCTCATAAAACTTAAAGTAGATACTCCATCCACAGTGCTACCAGTAATGTTACTCAAATCTTGAGAAGCATCGAGAGACGGTGCTGTGTATCCGTTAATCCAGGTATCCATAAGGAATGGACGTCCAGTTTTATCTACCCAACCAATTACAGCATCTGTTTGACTCTAAATATTCAATTACACTAGATTAGTTGAATATCTTATGAACTTTGGTAATAATATTTTAAAATATAAAAATTATTATAATTAAAAATTTAAAAAAAACCCCTATTGTAACTACACAGAAATTATATTCCAGCCTAAGTATTTGTTTATATGTATTTTATACCTGTGTCCTAATCTTCTATCTTTCTATATTATTAAATTAGTTTTAAGTAAATAGTAAATCTACCGACTGAGTTGTAATATTTTAACTTATAACGTAAACATATTAAAAGAAGAAGGTGTATAGTTAGTCAATAACATTTACCATTCTATGGTCATCTGAAAATCCTATTCCAGTCCATGTAGTTGTGTGAGTAGTAGAGATAGTAAATCGCATATAATCGGTTTTCGACGAGTATGTCCAAACGACGTGATACATACATTGTCCAGCATTGACGTCACAGCCTTTTGGAGTTGACCATTGGCCATAACAATTACTAGGAGTTGATGTCGGCATAAACGATGTTTGTTGATTCGGTGACTTACTTTGAGCCATTGCATCACCATCGGTTTTTGTAACTGTCTGTTCATTTACTGCTAGTTTTTGTTGTTCAGGATCATCTGGGCGAGACAAACAACAAAAGTGTGATAATAACATTATAATTATCAATGTACAGTGAAAGTGTTAGAATGAATACATGGATCTATGTATGTGTCAGTTGAGGTTTAAAAGTCAACAGAGTAGAAATATTTAACTGTCTAAGTGTTGGTTTACAGTTATAAAAATCGAAGACGCTTTATACTTATATATTTCTGTTGGAAAAAAAATACTGTTAAAATATTATTTTATTATTACTCTTTCACGTAAAAATATAGCCAAAATAACAATTTAAAATTAAAATGATGCAAAAATTTTGTCACAGTGAGTAGATTTTTCTATTACTTGAACAATATATACATACGAAAAAAGTTTATGGAAACTACTCCACGTTGTGATGCATGACCATGATATTTTAGCTCGTCTTGTTTGTAGAAATCTTTTACAGAAGAAACATCTTTTTCAAGACCAGATTTTGGCGAATGTTGGTAATGTTTATGTTCTTGTCCTTTAGCCCAAATAACGTGCATCATATCATCGACAATTGAATGATCTGTTGATTCAGTAGCTATACGAAAAAAATTATTATTTTAGTTATTATTTGGTGTCTCCACATACAAGTAACATTATACAGGCGATCCATTTATCATAAATTACTCAATCACTCGCAAAATAAATATAATATTGAAAATATATATATATTTTTTTTAGTTAATTAAATTTAAAGTAACAACTTTGTCTTTTTTTAATTGCAACATACATATGAAATAGCTAGCTTATGAAATAGAAAATTATCTCATTTTAAAAATACCTAGTTGATAATAACTTTGACCAGTGCTTCAAAACTTATGACGTATTTAAAAGAGAGACTAGGGGAGAGGAGCAAGTATGACTTATACAATTTATATAATAAGACATTTCTCGCAGCACGCCTTCTACTACTCGCGTATAAAAATGTTAATAACTTTGATATTATTGGTTTAAAAGTTGTTATTAACCCATCATTTTGATAATTAGATAATTGTTCAAAATATATGATGTCATTAAAAAAAATAAAAATTTATTTGAGTGGTTTATTATAAACATATCACTCTATATATTATCGTTTCTAATTTACATTTAAGCTTCTTCCTAAAGGCAATGGTCGTAACGCCATCCTTTTCAAATCCAAATGCTGCAGTAAGGTCATTTTTTCCGCCCCAATAACTATCTATTTGTGGTGTAGACCTATTTACAAATAATATATTAAAAACACGTAAAACAAGAAAATTTAATTGAGATATTATACCGGTCTCTTGTATAATAATCCCATACTCTGCTTGCCGATCCTCTGGCTGAACCGATGACCAAATCTGTACAATCCATACCGCTGAAATCACCTTTAGGAGTATACATATTGAGTTTCATATCTAAATAAATAAAAACATAAGCGACAAAACTATTAAAATTAACATTATGATGATTTTTTCTATAACACATGTTTCACTATAACAATTCGTACTTCCATATTTTAATTAGCTATTTATGTCATTCAACAAACCTTTTTTTTGAGTTTCTGTAGAATTTTGGTGATCATGATTGTGATGTGCAGAATGATCGTGATGATGATTGTTATTTTCTTTGGGTTTTGTTTCCGGTTCTGGTTCAGATGTTGGTTCTGGTTCAGTTTCAGGTTGAGGTTCTATATTATAAGTAGAAAGAATAACAATAACACATTACAAAATACTTCATTTATAATACTATTTATTAAATTCAAAAAAGCTTACCATTAGGAGTTGATCTTTTATTTCTAAGTTGAGCGAAAACTGAAAAATATTATTTTTATTAATTTCAAGTGTAATACTAGAAAAGTAAATATTTGAAATATTTAATTTAACTTATAAACCTGGTCTAGCGTTGGTATGTCTTTGAGATGATGTCGAAGAAGTTGCTGTTGTTGTAGATTCTTCTGAAGTTTTTGGCTTAGCTGTCCGGCCTCTAGTGCGGAAGAATGATGGCTTCGGTCTTGTAGAACTAGGAACTGAAGTCGTTGTGGTAGATGGCTTAGTTGGTTCCGGATATGGTTCGGCACTAGTCTCTGGTTCTGGCTCTGGCTCTGGTTTATGTGTAGTGCTTGGAGAAGTTTTTGGTTTTACACTAGATTTTAACCCTGGTAAATTTTTCAGGTCAGGTACAGTTTTATGTTCTAAAACATTCTTTGGTTCCGGTTCACTTTTTGGTTCAGGTTCACTCTTTGGCTCAGATTTAGTTTTAGGTTCAGGTTCAGTTTTGGGTTCTGGTTCAGTTTTAGGCTCTGGTTCAGATTTGGGTTCTGGTTCAATTTTGGGCTCTGGTTCAGTTTTTGGTTCTGGTTCTGTTTTGGGCACTGGCTCAGACTTAGGTTCAGGTTCGGTTTTTGGTTCTGGTTCAGTTTTAGGCTCTGGTTCAGTTTTAGGCTCTGGTTCAGTTTTGGGTTCTTGTTCGGTTTTTGGCTCAGGTTCGGTTTTAGGCTCTGGTTCAGTTTTAGGTTCCGGATCACTTTTTGGTTCTGGTTCGACTTTTGGTACTACAGCAAGTGCTTTTGCACCTGGTAAATCTGCCAATATTGGGAAATTTTTACAGTCAGCCGTTAAATTCTTCGGTCTCCACCCCAAACCTAAGTAGCTAGTGCTATTTGCTCGTAATACCACTTCTATTTCACCCTCTTCCTTAAAAACTTTCCAATACATGTGGAAATCCTTTGATAACTCTTTAAATCTGTAATTGCTGAGATCAATTTCAGTTGATTTCAATGTAGAACCTAAAAATAGATTAACAATTAATTGTAAGATTATTTTTGATTTACTTTCAGTTGATCATTCTATCACACATGTTCACTATTACCATACTATTGAACGTTTCATTCATGAAAAATTATTTTTACTTTCACCTAACAAACAAAAACGTGCATACAATAAAAAATTATTAATAGTCATCGAGCAAAACAAACATCTTAACGCCATAGCCTCCGAAAACAGTCAACACACACAATGGGCATAATTTTGATGTTGCGTAAATTCTATATTAATACCAGACAATAATTCTCAAAAAATATTATTTGACAATACGCTCGATTGACAATAACCAACCAAACCTAAAGAAATAAAGCCATCAAACGTAGAGAGTTGTGTTTGATTGAATTTTAAAGATACTTAAGCATTCAAAATATTGAAAAACAACACTCTAAAAATCGCTAGTTAATAAATTTATTTTAAGGAATATGCTCACGTTTTGTACATGCTGGTCCAAACCAACCAGGTTCACAGTAACATTGTTTTCTAGGGGCTGAAGTAGCGTGTACATCAATACATCTACCTTGATCTCCACAATCATTATCTTCGATACATTCATCTTTGTATTGACATCGTGAACCGTAGTACAATCTATCGCATCGACATTTGGATAACAAATATCGACCTTTACCGCTACAATCTTCTCGGTAATTTTTTTCTAAAAAAAATTTAAAGAAGTAAACACACCATTCATTCATAGGATGAATTAATTTTTTTAAATTTAATTTAAGATTATACAAAATGATTAATTTTGTAAAATTATCGTTATGGTTATTCTGACTTTGCTATTATCACAAAATTGAATAGCAAAATTTTTTTATTAGATTGTTAAAAAAAAATAAAGAAAACACCTAAACAGGCATTGATTTTTGTGATTTCTATGTTGCAAATATTTTATAAAGTGTTTCTAAATTAGTTAGTGCACCATTAAAGTCAATCAATCGAAATCTTATAAAATATAGCGTATTTTTAATAAATTATGAATTTTAAGAAAATGGATCATTTATAAAACTATAGATGGAATACGCTTAAAAAAATTCAAATTGCAAGTAATTTTTAAAAATCGTACTTTGCACGACTGCATTGGTATGATGATTGGAATGTTGGTAAATATCATACAATGTGTAATGATTAATTATAGTAAAAATGTTTTTTACCTTATCAAATAATTATAAAATACAAATATCTTTGTAAGATGAACGTTCATCTATAAATAAATAACTTTATTTATGGTAATTAAATAAACACTAAAATAACTTACTATTTTTTATGTCAACGTCTGCACAAGACCAGAACTTGTAACTGTTTCCCCATTCCAAGGCCTCTCTCAATAATCTAATGGTACAATCATCGCAAACAAAATCGTTGGGTAGTTGGACAGTGTATGACTGGGCCCTAGAAAAATCAGTGTAGAATAACAATTATTTTACTATTATTATTATTAGTGGTTAAAATTATTCGCCTACACGCACATATACTTGAAATAGACTGTTGTATTTTATGTATGTACAATAGAGGGATTGTTATAATCTTACAAAATAATATCGAATATTTGATAACAACTGAAATTACAGATCGTGACAGTAAATCGTTATCAAATAATCAGTTGCGATAATTATATGATCTACGACCGTGCAATAGATATTAGCCCCCTTTTTTAACATAAAACTATCTCAAACCCTGAGAGGCTTGCACAGAGAAAAAATTACTTTGAATTATCAGTGAGAAATTTATCACGATATTCTGCTTAATTATTCAAATTAAAATGAAATTGTGATTTAATCCTAATTAATTAGAAAGATTTTTTAATAATTTAGGCGTACTATGTTTAAATGACACACAATAAAATAATACTTGCTATCAAAGACTTAAGACATAACATACTCTTCACGTAGATATTTTAAGAATATGTTGCGAATGACTAAATATTTTGACTTGTGAAACTCATTTGCACTAATCACTTACGTACTATTAATTACTATTAGGTAAGTTTCTAAGTCACATACATGACATGAGGTAGGTATCTGAATGACTTATTACTTCAATTAAATCTAATATAAATTTATTATATAACAAAAAAAAGTAATGAAGTAGAAATAATAGTTGTTGAGTATGCTGGACTAAGACATATTTTGGCGTAGAGCTTACTCAACTATAGCAATTACAACTTTTTATTGGAAATTAATAGAAAAAAACAAGATAGTCGAATATAGATATGCAAATTAATAGAAAACAAAAATACTTGTTTTTATCAGATTAGGTGTTCGCTTATGCAATAAGTAGGAAAATCATAAAATTTAATAAATTTAGTTTTAGTTGATTAAAGGAAATAGCTTGTAGATTTCTTAATTTGTATTTTTTTGTTAAAAATAAACTTGTTGCATAAATAATAAGAATGATCAAAAACAAGTGTTTTCTCAAAATTCTTGCTTAGTTCTAGTTGGATTACATCATTTTTTAAAACATTTTCTATACGATTTTAAGAAATCAGCCAATGACGTATAATCATAAAGTATTTTAAATAACATTATACTTGAGTATTGTAGTTAATACAACAGCTGTTTTAGAGTAATTTATGAATACAGTGGAGACATAGTACATTTAGTACTTTGTTGATAATAAATAAGAGCATGAGTCATATGATATTTTTTATTTGAGGTTAAAATAGTTATTGTATTTGTCACTATTACATATGTAATGTAAAACAATAACACTTAAGAGTAGACATTTCTGATGAGAATTAACGAATGGATACCTATGAATTATAGGTACTTAACATCCAAGTATTCGCGTTAAAAGTAATTTCTAAACAGACTTATTTTAAAATAAGATATTTGTTTCTTGCAATGCTAGTGTTTCATACTTTTATATTTAGGATAAATATATAATGGCCTCTGTAAGACCAAAATTCATAAAACACGTCTGCATTGATGACAAATTACTATTATTTTTAATCAATTAAAAATTATGTAGTAATTTATGTGCTGTACTAGTGGGGCGGTGTGGCCTAGCGCTCCATTAAAGGTGGAGCTAAGCAAGTCTGATTAGAATAGTCGATGACTATGGTGTGAATATCTGTTCTGTGTATTTTTTAATCAATTTAAGTCTGTTAGAATTATCCGTGTATCTGTCTTTTATTTATTGGATTAATTGTACTAAATTAATATTTACTAAGTAATACTTTGTGTTTTATTAATGAATAAATAGACGATTATAATTAACTTGTATTGTAATCTTTGAGACCATCCTACAATTAGCAAAAAAATTCCTAGACAATCTGATATCAATCGGACAAAATTCATCACATCATTTATTAAATTAAAAATTATAATAAATTTTATGGACCTCTGACCACCCAGTGTCATATATTTTTGCAAGAGTTATCAAGGCACAGCTATTAGGTATAATATACTATATCACTATCTACATACATTTACTACGATCCTTATAGTATTTAAATGTGCCAAACTGAATTACATTTGACTGACGTATAGGTTGATAATTAAAATAAAATAAAAATTGTCATGTCAATCGATGTACTAACAATTTTACTATACTATGAAGTAATGCTGTAACAAAATCATAAGATTATCCCAAATACATAACTGCACAGAGTTATTGTAGGTGCGATTAAGCTTCTCATTATTTTAGTGTATTGTTGTTTAAATAGAACAAGGGCGTTCGTAACAAAGTACATTTGTTTGACAATTTGTCAATCTGTTTTTAATATGATAATCTATTTCTCGTGAGTATAAGTGATATAGAGTGAAAAAAGTGAAGCTTATTATTTATTACCGTATTATTATAATGAATAATATTTTATGTTGATATTCTTGAATTATAGTAAGAAATTTAATTGATCTTACACGTTTGAAAAAATTAAAAAGAACTTAAAAAGACTTAATGTTACTAAAAATAATTTTTATATATTATCTATCACAATGAGTTTTATTAAAAATTTAATTTGTATGTAATAAAAATAATTAATATTAACACAATATCTATTTAATTTGTATAATCATTAATTTAACACTAAATATTGAATTGATAAAAGAATCTCGATACATGTATTTAATCTATAGTTACTTTCCGTGATTAAACGTCTAATGCGAAAAAATACCAATATTCTTATATTTTCTGTATTATTTATAATGAAGGAGTTATACATTTACAGCTATAGAAGAATTATAGAATGAAAAATAAAGTTATATGGCAACCTCAGTTAAAATAATTTTTATCTATTAAAATTGATAAAATGACAGAATGAAAAGGAAGTATTTAATTAGCTTCCTGTGACTGCCTATATAGTTAATAGTATGATGACTATATTAGGGCAATGTGAAAGCAATCAATTTACAAGTTAACTTAGTAGTTTTCCATCGTGTATTAATATAATGGTCAAATTATTATAAGGTTGTATATGTTACTTTTTGTTATTATATTTTTATAAACACTATCATTGTACGCATATCATCTTGATATTTTTAAACTTAAATAATTATATTTGATCTTATAATGAATACAGTACAAATAGAACATCGTTTAAACATCATAGAGCAGCCATGTCAAAAATTTAATTTATACAGAAATTTCTTTTGTTTTTAATCTATCAAGTTTTAATGAAGAGTGGAATATAATAGTATATTAATACAGTTAGTTTTCTAGATTTTCAAATAAAAAAAAAAAATACCTCACAATACTATCAAAAGAAAATACATATAAGAACTAATGCATCTAAGTTTAAGATGATTAATTTATACACAATTCTTATATGGAAAAAGGAATGATTTTTTTATGTACTTCTCTATATAAAACGTCATTCAGTTTGATACCAGTATGTTATATATATATATATATATATATATAATCATTCAATGCATACTCTGAGCCATAAAAATACTATGTTAACCATGGGATTAAAATAATAAAGACCAACTAAAAATTTAGCAATATTAAATTTAGTAGTATTAAATTATAAATACTACTTTAAAAAAAATATGACTTGTATCATTTTAAAAGTTATATACAGGCCTTAGACATAAAGCATTTGCTTGTTTTTATTATTTGAAATATAATGTAGCACAATGCATAGGTGTTTATGTTATAAAATATGTTTAGGAATAGAATTCAATACTTGATTATACAAATAATATTTCCTTGACTATTTGGAATAATATAACAAATATGTTGTATTATATAAATTTTCTTAAAAAAAATATATTTAAATTCCTAAAAATCAAAGACATCCTTTCTCTTATAAAGATGTGTATTGTTTTATTATTTTTTATTATCGTCAATATGTTCAATAATATATTTATGCATTATATAAAATATATAGTTTTATAATATATTCAGCAAATTTTATCATGTTGAATGGAAATTTATAAATTAAAAAAAAAAATTTTTTATTTAAGTCTTCTTTTTCAAGTTTTATAGTTTATAAATGCTTATCTAAATAATTTTAATAGTGTTTGTATGAGCTTATTTTGACGATTTTAAGTGCTGTAAGTCCTAAGTCCTGGTTATATATAATGTAAACAAACAAGTACTAAAATTTACTACGATACTTGTTTGAATGAAGCAAATATAAATATGGAAAAATTAATATTCTAAGAAAATTGAAAATATTATCTTAAACAATAATTTTTATTGGTATATTTTTTATATTGGAAAGGAATGCTAATTTTTTTGTTATTCTATCTTAATTGTTTTTTGCGCAACCTTATGCTGTTTTATTTTGTTTTGGTTTTATTTTACATTACATTTTGGATCATTTAATCGGTGTACTGAACCATACGAAATAAACAACTTCTAGCTAACGCTAAATAATAATCACAAAAGTAAAAGTAAAACAGGCTGTACAAATACCTCTTAATAGTGGATTCTATGGGCTATTAGATTTTTTAATAGATATATTTTGGCATGTCGTATTGTACTAGTTTAAATACATTTTAAAAGATATAAAACTTTTACAAAAAAACTTCAGGTTGAAGCCAAACAAAACCATGAATATATATTTTTTCATGACTAGATAATTAAATTGAAATATTTTTTTATCCATATAACTAGTAGATCTAATATAGTCTACATATATATTATTGAAAAGAAACTTTTCATTAGGATGTCAGGCGATGAAAATAATTTAGTTATTATCATTATACTAAAATCACTACACTAACTAAATTATCAAACAATTTTTTTTTATTTGCTATTTTCTATTTTTGATATTATTTTAATAATCAATTCGTAATTAGTTATGCTACAAATAGCCTGCAATAATTCTCATATTAAAAATGATTTCATAATCAACGATCGTCAATGCCATACAAAATAACTGGAGGATACAAATTCTCACTACCTTGTTGCGGTTATTATCTGTCAGTGTTATCATTGTTCAGCTCTAGTATCAAACTTGACTCGAAAGAAGAGATTGATGTTGGCGAGAAATGTCTACTTTCTAAACAAGCTCGATAACAACCGCTTTTACACGTATAATTATGAATATCATAAACACCATAATGAATAAATTGTATAATATAATGATATGAGAATTAATTATTAGGTGTCGGAAATATTTGGGTGGATTGATGAATGACACCTAAATAATATTACACAGAAATTGCGTGTCGATAAAAGTAACACTTAGTGTTAAACGAATAGGCGTACTTTAAAGTTGAAATCTCTTACAGAGATTAAACGTTAATGATTATTAACTTTCATTATGAGATCACACGGGTTCCAAAAAAAATCTCACTTTAAGAGTAGATTACTTACCAATAAAATTAAATTTGTTTATCAAGTACTAAGTACACGTATTCATTTAACGTTTAAAATTACATAAAATAAGCATCCAAACAGAAAACAGCATTTTTTGAACTGCGTGCAAAAGTTAATTGAAAATACTTTTATAGCCACTTTTCTGATAATTTAAACAAGCGAATACTAATTTGCTTTCGAGATACGCATTGCTTTTGAAAGTTAAATGAAACCAAAATGTTTAAATTTAAAGAAAAAATGGAAATAAATTTCACTTTCTTTTTTAAATGTTCAACTATTTATAATATTATACGTCTCCGACTAGTTTAGTTGGGATTATTTTTGTTCTTAAATCATCTAATTAAACATGTATCATACATAACGCGTACTTTTTATTTATTGCTATCATATTTATGGGCACTATTATAGTTCAAACGTCATACAACGTTGTTGTAGGTGTTATTACATTAATATTTTATTATATCTGATGCAGTGATTAAGGAACTGCTAAGAAAAAATAATTTAATACAGATTTAATTTTTAGTTTTAATGTGTACTGCCTACACCGAACCAAACAATTATCGTATTAGAGTATAACGTTTTGAATATTATTTCTCCAAGTCTAACCTTAATGGTGGTTTTTGCAGTATGAAGATATATAAACTAATGCGTATAATAATAATAATGATATAGATTAACAACAACCTGAAACAGTGTTCGCGAAGTGCGTAAATAAGGAAAACTCCCTGAGGCTGGATGACTATATATGTATTTACCATAAGTTCTAGATGACTATTTCTTAAGAATAACAACTATAGCTATTAGTATATATATAGAGTAAAAATATATAAAAGTATAAAATACTACATATATACTGACTTAATTAGTCAAGTACTCAAGTATTCAGAGGTCTATGTTTGGCAACAACGAATACAGAGGAAAAAAACACTCATGTTTTTATATTTATCTAATATGGACAATTGAACGTTAATTATAATTTGTAGTATTTATATAAACAATAGCGAATGACGCATTTAATTAATATATATATATATATATATATAATCAAACATTATTCGTTTGGTTACTAATGTTATTAAAATGTATTAGAAATAATCTTTTACTCACGTTGCGTCTGTCCTTAAAAACTCTGAATCTTTTGTAACCGGGGTCAAATCCAACACTGGTCTCTGGTAATTGTCTAGCACTTGGATTTTGATGCCACCCTGAGAACAGCATAAACAAAGCAATTATTACAATGCTATTTTTAATTAAGAGACATAATAATGATAGCTATAATGATAATCATTGAAAATAATAATAAAATCATAACAATAACAATAATTAAGGTGCAAATAGAAATACCAATCTTCCGTTATCGCGTCGCGGATTAATTGTTTGATAGGCAGTTTGCCAATGATAAAAACATTTAATTTTACGAGTGCTTACGTTCTTTGGTTGCAACCGGGTAATTAAAAAAATAGTAATTGTAAAAATAAAAATGCAATGACGCTAAGTGCAATTAATAGGAAGAAATTTATTGTATTTTATGGAAATATTTGCCAGCGGCTGTTGTAACCGACTGGTAAAAGTGGAAATTCGCGATACGAACACTATTTGATGGGAACACACATAAATTCCATTGATGTTAAAGTTATGGTAACTATTTAGCCACTGCACAGTATTGCACGTGGTGTATGGAATCAAGTCAGTGACATTCTGTAAATATTATTACATTACATACTGTATCGAATTCGGTATAGTCTTAAAAATATATATTCTCGTTACGGAATGTAAAGTATGTAAAAACAACGCAAGCTTTAATTGTATTATTCAAAGAAATTTTTTTTATTGAATTAATAAAATCATGTTTCATTTAGAATTCGTTTCCTAGATTCTTTTATTCGTAACGAGCATGTGAAATAATACCCTTGAGCTACGAAAGTAAAGAATAGTTATCATCTGACTTGATTGTATTTAAATCATATACCTTACAAGTGTTTTCGAAGATCATAGCGAATTTATTGGATTTGGCAAACGAAGAGCATATGTTTTATAAGAGGTCATCAAATGACCATAGGCAAAACTATAGTGAGAAGATTCAATTTTATTATTTTATTGTGCAACACTGCTATTACGTAACGAGCAGTGAACGCGTCTTGAATCAGTATTTTCTAATTTATTATTGGATGTTTAAAGTTGTTGATTAAACGCAATATATGATATTGATTGAATTAAACGTGCCTACTGAGTGTATATTTCATACATGTTGACACGCGATACCAAATGAACATAAATATTTATTATAGTCCATAACACATAACTCGAAACGTTATTCAAATGATTATTACTCGGTATTATGATTAATATGTGACTATAGATTTTCAAACATGATCACTATGCAAGTTAATCATGAGCTCGTATTGTGATAAATAGCTTCTATTTCGCAATCGAAACAAGACCAGGTTATAATTATACTAAAGCAACAGCTGTAATAATTTTAGCGATCATCTTTTATTGGTTTTATATAAAACAATAAAGTATAGCCAATAGAGTTTAAAACTGGTTCTTTTCACTCAAATGCAAATCTAATTACTAGGCAATTCACAAAATATTTCATGGTAGCTATTTCATAATACGTAAAAAAACACATAGCATTATAAGCGTGCACTTTAATAAGGTATTGCATAGTCTTGGAGCAGAAACGTCACAAGCATTATGTCGGTTATGTTTTAAAATAAGTGTTACGAATTTTCAGTATAAATGTAGAAAGTGCTCGTGAGTTAACTAAAAATTAAAGAGGATTGATCCAACGTATCAACTACAATGAATAACTTTTTTAAAGACAATATGTCGTTGTATGTTATTCATTAATATTTTTGACAAATTATTGTACCTCAATGATATTTGTCAGCTAGAATAAATACTATTATGTCAAACTATAATAAATAAATATGGTTATATATAGTTATATACTCGAAGAATGTCAGTTCTCCTAGTAATTTTTTAAATATACTCTTAACTGGAGAGAGTATTTCTTCAGTTAGTTAGCTTAAACACTATGATAAATTACAGTGTCGAAATCACAGTCTTTTTAAATGCATTACGACTCATTTAAGATATATATATAATTAGTTTTACAGGTTAGACTTACATTAAAATATTTATTATCCACTCTACTACAAAATAAACATCTAAATATAAGTTGTTGCAGTTCGTTTCCAATTCATTAATTCTCAGTAGAATTAATCTAATTAGAAACATTCATTACTACTTATATGGAAAAGTTTTTGAATTATTATTGTTCATCGGTCACTTATCCATTCGTTTCGTTTAGCACATTAGAAAATTGTTGCAAGTATCCATTACATAATTTAACTCTGAATATTACTCATTCTACGCATTAGCAGTGACAAAAATTACACAGAAAACTAACAATGAATTATTTTAAATGGTTGGTAGGGGGGTTTCCAGAAGATGATTTTCCAATTTTGTCAACGAAATAAATTGTTACTCCATAAACGGTCAAGACAAATGATGATTTTTAAGATGTCAATAGTCTTTACCATATAAGATTGATAACGCGTGGGATTTCTACCCTGGAATAAGGCCGTGAATGATTTCCGGTGATACAAACAATAAAATTTATAAGAACTTTAGTTTTGTCGTCATTGCGCTTTCACCACGTTCACAGCGACTTGCGACCTATCGCGACCTTATATAAGCAACTCCTAAATTATTAATTAAATATTTATGCTGTCGTACGCAACATCTGTGTTTAAAATAACGATTCATTATGCATTTGGTCGGCACTTAGACACTTAAAATATCTACTCTTTGCATTGAATTAGTCATTAATGCGAAACTAGAGGCCAAGTATGAGATGATTAGGTCGTGCATGGTATTTTCCAACGAACGAATGTACAATAATAATCGCAATAGTCAATTATATTTTCGGGCTTATGCTAAGAATAAGCCTCGTATTACCGCATAGGTGTACAATGAACACTTGCAAACAATTGTCACGGCTTTTTTTTTTTTTTTTTTTTCACACGCTCTATCGCGGACGATTGCAGGGCTAGAAACGTGTAAACATAACTCGGATCGTGATTAATTTAACTATTTTTTCGTAATACGCATGGATTATTGTCATTGTAGTAACACTCTAGTTAATCATGCGTATAGTACTTACCCGGTGAGGATAAGCTAGATGCCAAGTAATATTGAATGATGAACCAGCCAAGAGTGAAGTCTTAATGGAACCTGCAGAAATAAAAAGAACATTTTAATTAGTTGTAATAACAATTGATACTAGGAAGTTGTGCGAATATAGTACAATTAAATTGTTACTATTATCTATGAGAACAATACAACTTCAGAGTTAAAATTACAATATTGTGTGAGTCTATGTGACTTTGTGTGTACATTATGTTGTATAGGTTTCTATATATTTATTATATATTTTGTGCGTCCTGATATATATATTTATATATATATTATTATAACGCTCCTCGGGGCAAGAGTACAAACAAATGTAAACAAGATTAATATACTAATTAGTTACAAATTAAAATTATAATTTAATACACAACATATTAAGAAATAAAAAATACTGTAACATAGTACAAGGGTGTAAATGTTTATACATTTTATTATATGTTTTTACTATCGTGACAATTTATTATAATGATTCATTATGTTTGTACTATTAATTTCTTATAACTGATATAGTACGCAGTACTATATTTTGAATTGTTCAGTCGGACTTTGAGTAATTGTATGGTTAAGGAAGTGATGCATTGTGTGCAATTCATATTACAGCAATAAATCTTTTGTTTAGGATACTTTACATTATACATTGTAATTGATTGAATGTGATTCGATTACATTATTTAAATATATATATATAATCGGTTTAAACATTCTTAACCCATACTAGGCAAAAATACTTCCCTATTTTAGTTTCTTGATATAAAAATATCATCAACACGAATGTTGGTGTAAACATCAATATATTATGGTCACAACAATTCGAACATATTACTGACTGTTAGAATAACAATTAGTTATAAATATTTGAAAGTTAAAAATTTTCCTTGACGTTTGCGCGCGTCAATTATTATAACGCTCAAAAGTATTCCCGGACTTTACCTATTGCAGATGTCGGTCAAAGTTAGTCGCGACAACTTGAATGAATTCTAATGACTTATGACACTTATTACTCTTGTTTGTTACACGTTCAATCGCGGTGAATTTTTACAACCTAACCACAGTGTTTAATATAGGTCATAACGTGCCCCACGGTCTAAGATAATAATTACATTATTATTATAACTGCTTATTTTTGATGAAATATTGAGCTAAACCATATAATATTGTCGCTTACCACACATTAACAGCAGCTAAACACATTTCCACTAAGACCCAGTAACCTTTTATTCCGATCGCCCACCGAAACGTGCGAACATTTAAGTCTCCGGCGAAAGAGTTCCATTGTGTGTACTCAAAGATAGTTTTCAAAATGAAATCTAAAGAATTGTGAAGCAAAGCGTCAAATTTGTAGATTTAAATGACGTAACAAACACTACAATTTAAACAATGTCATGGGTTATAATAATGTAAAAATATTTCTGATCGATATTATTTTAAAGCTAACACATCATTCTATTACTGAAACTGCGAGTATAACATTTTAATAGAATTGTTCACATAATCCAACAAATTTTATAATAATTGCCAATTTCATTATCTGACAGAATTATTAGCTTTTATAAAGCTATATTTTACTAAAAAAAAGTTGAAAAGTTTTTACACGTGTTCTTTTTCATTCAAGAAGATACTTTTTCCTATTATATTTATTTCCAGCATAAATATAAAAACATAAAATTTATATCCTGCCGAATAATTGGTCGGTATACATCGATAAGGAAACATTCGTGTTCTGCAGAATATGAATAAAATATTATGTGGTTTTCTAAATAGTATTTCTGCTTTTGTTCATCGTTCGAAGAGCAATGTCCATTCACCGCGTAGTGGTTGTAATAATACATCATTTTGTGACTCATACATATGAATTAAAGTTCATGTTCCGTTGTACATCAAAGCAATGTTTTTAAGAGTTGAGGCTATACAGCGACGTTTAACAACCACCGGTTTTTATCACGGTGCATTAAATTTGTTGTACTGTTTTATACATATTTGTAACGATACTCAACCCACAAGATACCCGAGCAAACACACAACAAAATGTACATACGCACATCTGTATCGGTTTACTTTGCATTGGTTGTTATTACATAATAATAACAGATACACAACCAGATCCGCGGAATCGTTTGCAGTTTATGTGGGCAATAACAACGCCGTTTTTCTACCAGAGTACGTGTGCGTAGTGCATTGCCGAAGGTCGAGAGGAAAGAAGAGGCGTTTTAGGAGCATTACACACGAAGTTATAAGTAAATAAGTAGGTATAGAAATTGACGAATTTTTTTTCATAACCGCGAAACGACGACAGAATTATTGCTTCACAGTTGTCGATAAACAATAGACGGCTAAATCTTCATTTTATAAAGAATATTCAAACAATGGTAAGTGAAAGAAATGGATGCGGCGACGCATATTGCATTATTGTTTTTATTGTCATTATTATTATTATTACTGCACTCGGCGAGGACGAATCTTTTAAGATGAAATACTCTCGCCCGTAAACGCCTCACGATGACTATGGAATAATACCCATCAGTATTGCACTATTACCATATTTTATACTGACTCATTAAAAATGTACAAAAGAAAAAAGTGGTAATTTGTATAAATCTCTGTACTTGCAAGTAATTCGGTAGCTGACAACAGCTATAGGCAAATACTGAGAAGAAAAATGTATTGCGCAAGACAGACCTAAAGCTTCACAATATGCATAACTTATACATAATCATCGTCCATTGTAAAATTTAAGGTTACAGAAATCTATTTAGTTTATGCATATAAATAACAATTAAATAGAAAATTGATTTAAACGTGACACGGCATTTATTCTTGGGTAACATAGATGATAATTATATCGAATATTATAATCATTGAAAGTACCATTGATTTGATGTTTTCTTTTAACGTTAATGTTATTGTTGCCAAATTCTTAATTTGCATGATATTTCTGAAATTTGCCTAATAATGATTAGACAATGATTAAAACTATTGGAACAATAGCACTAAGTAGTACTGTTTTTATGTAAATAGTGTAATATAATAACAATAATAATTTATTTAGATATTTTATAGTCTTAAAAATTAAATTTTATTTGATAGTGGTATAACTAGTAATTTTACTAGTTATTAGTAACATAATCATAAAATTTTCTTATCACATTAGATTGTGGATTTTTCTTGTTTATTACTTCATATTAAAGATAAATATTACGCACAATAGAAGGGCTGTCCCCTTTTACCCTGTAATTTTTAAATAAAATTTGCTGCATTGTTCTTATTCTGATTCTTTTTTAATTTTTTGAGTAATAATTTTTTTTTCTATAAATAATTTTATGACATTAGATTTAAGTAAGCAAAGTATATTGTATAATACTTAATCGATTTTTATAAATGTCAGTAACGTATACAGGGGTCTACAATCTTGATGTTGACCATAGTATATATTACTATAAACATTTTATAATGTCATATACCACAATAAAGAAACATATCACCACTCTTATAAATGTACATGTTAATAAAAATTGAATTAAAAAAAATAAGGTCCTTAGCTTTCTCCCATCGTGATATTATTTTCAAATTTCTATCATAAATATTTAAATAGTTATGAAAAAGAAAAAAGAAAAAACCAAATAAAAAATGATAAATATTGTTATATTCTATGATAATCTAAGAATAAAACAAGTTTGAAATAAGTCTCAAATTTAACGAATTTGAAAATTAATCTGGCTGAAAATTTTAATATCTATAAAATGAATTAATTTTAGTAATATTTAAAAAAAAATGTTTCATCTTCACGAATAATTTATTTCAGAGTAATATCAACAGTCAAGCTCATTTATATAAGAAAAATATTTTGAAAATTGAAGCTTGTTTAATAATTTTTCCATGATTGGCGAAATTTTCTTTGTTTCATTATATAATAAGATAGTTAATAGCGAAAGTTAGGACAAATAAATCTATCATTCTAATTACATAAAGGAAACTATATATTAGCATACATAATTAAAATATTATTTATAAATTCTATTTGAGGCCTACTTAATTGTACACTAACATATACTTAATCATAGTGGCAAAAACTTTCTATTCTCATTTGAAAAAGATAAAGTATATTGTAATGTAAGAAAAACATTCATTTAAATCAAGGTGAATCATTTAATAAATTATTCTTATAATTCTTAATACGAATAATAAGTATTTTTATAGTGTTTGGTAATCATATATTAAGAATTCTCACTACGATTCTAAATGATATCGTCATAAAACAAATGTCCAATATAAATGAACAACAGTATGGATAAGAGTGAATACTGTAGACATAGAATACAAAATAATATATTACACGATTTATCTTACATAAACGCTTCAAAATATTACAAATTATCATTCCTTGGGCTTGTGTTCAATCCGATTACATTTAACATCAGTTGATTTATCCTATTTGAAAAGTTCGAAATAAAGAATCATATACATATATCCAACAACATCATACATTACAGTTTTTTTATTTTTATAAATAACATTATTCTAAGTAAATATATATTAGTATAATCAAAATATTCTTCGAATCAGTTCTTAAAGTTTGAAATTTCTCAGAAAATCTAGTTTCGAAGGTATCGTCGCACAAGAGATAGAAGAAATGCTGTAGAGATAATATTCCTAGCAGATGAAATTAAAATTAAACAAATCATATTTACACTATTTAATTTAATTATATTATATATAAGTGTTCAGTAAGTAAGGAAACGGATTTCTATTGTTCTCATTGTTTGTAACAAGTGGCTTGTTTCCTTACTTACTGAACACACTGTACAAACTATATTTATTTAAAAATAAATTTAAAACTAGTCTTTATTTAAATTTTGTTTCCTTATTCACTATAGTATTTGAAACTATAATTTTAGTCGTTCAAATTAGATAAATATTTAAATATGTCTTTAAAATTGATTTCAAACGATTTTACACCTGTTATGGCAAAAGAAACATTATAAATAATATACGCTACTTAAATTAAAAAATTTAATTTTAAAATTTACAATATACGACAGACTTAT